AACTAGACATCATGAGAACTGGCCCTGTTGTTAAGACTACGATAGATACTTCACTGTGTGTCTTAAATTGTGCACTGGCACCCTGCACAAACTCCTGCAAAGAAAACTATATTAAAGGCAAAAGCTAGGCTGATGCAATAAGGATAAGACATTAAACACACTAAAAGCAGGGATTCAAAGTGAGCGTTCCCACAGCAACAATAACTAAGCCCCCCTGCAGCTATAGTACCTTGTATTCCTGACTTCTGTGCAAATAAAACCTCAGCCTTGGAAGCTGCACTAACAGCAAGCCCTAACATGCATTGTTACACTGCACATTTGCTTCGGAGTCCCACTCCACGACCTCTAGAGCAATGACATCCAGAAAGACTCCAAACACAACCGTGCTCCTTACACTGCCAACTCAAAGACAGGGGGACTCTTGCCATGTTTGGTGTATGCAAAGTCTCTCGAGGACCCTGCACATACCCAGTCTGAAAAGACCACTCCAGTGACTGACAACAATCTGTTCCTAAACAGAAGGTCTTAGTAATACAGGGGGAGCAGAATTTTATTAGTATGTTTGGCAGTACTTTGGGGTACTTTAAGTGTCTTGCAATGTTTGACTGAATGTGGAAAACTGCCCTGCCTTTTCTGGTAGGCAAATGACATACCACACACTGGTATGTGCGGGATGCAGTTTTCACCTGTTTGTAACTTCTTCATCTTGGAAACTATTTTTGTTTTTTTGCAGACATAGCAAACCCACACCTCTATCTAATCTACGTATCTATTGCATCTCTAGAACATCTGCACCTGCGCCATGTGGGTGCACAGGATGACAGATGGCAACTTTTATCCAAACTGGTTTTGAGTTATCCAGGCAGAGAAAGTCATGAGTAAGATTTTATTTTTAAAGAGCAGAAATCCCCCTCACTCCATTCCAAAATACCTGCATAATAATTTTTAAAGCACCACTGAAAAGAAAAATGGGAAAATGCAGCCCAAAAGATAATTTTGCTAGAAACTTACAAGCCACTGAATAAAGGGCTTAAAAGCCAGTGATGTTTAAAGTACACACAAGTGCTAAGGAAACATGTTTATCTTCTATAACTTTAGATGAGCCATCTGATGTTTCGATTACTATCGGAAAGATCTTGGAGTCATCGTGGATAGTTCTCTGAAGAGTGTGTGCAGTGTGCAGCGGCAGTCAAAAGAACAAACGGGATGTTAGGAATCATTAAAAAAGGGATAGAGAATAAGACTGAGAATATCTTATTGCCCTTATATAAATCCATGGTACGCCCAGATCTTGAATACTGCGTACAGATTGGTCCCCTCATCTCAAAAAAGATATACTGGCATTAGAAAAGGTACAGAGAAGGGCAACTAAAATGATTAGGGGTTTGGAATGGGTCTCATATGAGGAGAGATTAAAGAGGCTAGGACTTTTCAGCTTGGAAAAGAGGAGACTAAGGAGGGATATGATAGAGGTATATAGAGTGGTGTGGAGAAAGTGAATAAGGAAAAGTTATTTACTTGTTCCCATAATATAAGAACTAGGGGCCACCAAATGAAATTAATGGGTAGCAGGTTTAAAACAAATAAAAGGAAGTTCTTCATTCAGCGCACAGTCAACCTGTGGAACTCCTTGCCTGAGGAGGTTGTGAAGGCTAGGACTAAAACAGGGTTTAAAAGAGAACTGGATAAATTCATGGAGGTTAAGTCCATTAATGGCTATTAGCCAGGATAGGTAAGGAATGGTGTCCCTAGCTTCTGCCTGTCAGAGGGTGGAGATGGATGGCAGAAGAGAGGTCACTAGATCATTACCTGTTGGGTTCACTCCCTCTGGGGCACCTGGCATTGGCCACTGTCGGTAGACAGGATACTGGGCTGGATGGACCTTTGGTCTGACCCAGTATGGCCGTTCTTATGTTCTTATGACCAAAACTCAACTGGCAACATATGGTGTGCATCTGAAGAGCATCAGGTCGCTCTTGTGCAGATGTGCTGAGACCACTGCCTGTCACACTGACCAATACTGTCTCATTGTTTCCTTTTATTCACATCTGTCTATATCCACCTGTTGTCTCTTGTCTTTTACTTAGACAGTAAGCTCCTTGGGGCAGGGACCTTTTTTTTGTTCTGTGATTGTACAGTGTCTACCTCAATGGGGTCCTGGTCCACGCGGGGGCTCCTGGGTGCTGCCCTGACACATTATTATTATTTATTCTTTGTGCTGTGTGATGGGGAGATGAAATGGAGCGCAGATGACAAATACTAGTCTCACCATCTAATGCACTATTGGAAGGCACTCATTTACTATGGTAATGAGGGCACTAAAAAGTACCGATATGAAATGGAATGTATGTGTGGGAAACCCAGTTACTCTCATTGATAATACACGGAACGTGTTTGTGTGTGCATGTAGATAGTTTCCTGAATGTCTAGTAACCCCTAGTGATCAAAAATGGTAGGTGTGTACACATATCTGTATACTGAAGGAGCCTGCTCATAGCTGGGCCTCCTAATTTTGAGCAGGCCCTTAGAACAGAGACTGTGCTACGCTTTCCCTCCAGTGGCCATTAGGGGCCCTCAAGTTTTGAGGGTCGGTGCAACATCATCCCATATCAGTATGGTGCGGCAATGGAATGATGTTTCATCACCATATCAGGATGCTGTTCAATGAACTGACCACACTGTGATGGAAAGCATTTGTCTCATAAGGTGAACTTGTAAAAGCAGCAGATGACAGGTTCATAGGCTCAGGTCACAAGAGCTTGGTGCTGGCATGTGTGTGATGTCTTGGCTTGTAGATTTACTGTTTGACTGGTGGGGAACTGGGCACCTCTGAAAGTTAACTATGTCCATTTTATATTTTTAAAGAAAGATGCTGTCTCAGCTGAGTTTTGCCTCTCTTTGTATCAAGAATATTTTGTTTTGTGATGAGGCATTTCCTAAGGTTTATAAAAAATAAAACAACAACAACAAAGAAGAAGCCCAGACCACTGGATAGGCATGTTTTAAAAGTTAAATCTGAAGTAATACATAAATAATATAGCTTTCTTTTGATGTATATGTGCACTGCCCAGAAATTTGCTTCCCACAATGTTAGAGCAAAGTCACAGTGCTGAAACAAACATATCCTGTGACTGTTGCAACTAGGTGAGATACTTATCCTTCTTTCCTGTGTTGGTTATGTGTAAAACAAGAGCATCTCCTATTACCACATCACCAAGACAAGGTGTGTCCGCTGGCAGACCAAAGGTCCACGCTCTCACATTCTAACATGGAGGCTTAATAAAGCTCCACATGAGAACTACACTGGACAAAACATCCAAATAAGCAATTTTACATAATTGTAGTAATATTTCCATATTTAGAGCCATGGTCTCCAACAATGGATGGTTTTGCTTCCCTTTTGATTCATGATTATCAGCACTGCCCAAGCCAAGATACCAGCACAGTATTGGGAAAATACCAATTTCCAGAACAATGCCAAGGAATAAACAGCTATGATTTTTGTTAAACCAATATGTACAGATGAAGTTCTTTATTTCTATTGCTGTATGGTTGGGCAAAACCCCACATATACTCTTTCACTACAGATCACTAGCTATTTTGTTCTAGCCGCTGGTAACACTGGTAGGTATTTAGAACTGGGGGAGAAGAGTGTGTGTGTGTGTTTTATGTCAAAAGCAAAATATTCTTGCTAATGAGCATCACAGAACAGAATGTTTACAAGATCAAGAGCAGAGTTTGAGAAGCTTAAGCCAAACTGCCAAAGACACTATGCAAGCCTATTAGTCAACTTGTGTACCCAAAACTGCACCTAGGGCTTGGTGACCACTCCCTCAGCACTGTGATTGTGGGGATGCTGAAATTAAGGGTTGTTTCTATGAAGGAAGACTGCATTCTAAAAGACAACATTTTTAGCACCCCCAATGAACATACCTACAAATATTATTACTTTGCAGCTGCATACTTTAAATAGAATGGGCAAGATTTCCTCCTGATCTGTAGATGCCTAAATACCTGGTTGTGTCTAAGTGATGTAAACAGCATCCATAATTATTTGTGCCTGCAAAATTCATAGATATTATTAAGATTCATAGATATTAAGGTCAGAAGGGACCATTATGATCATCTCGTCTGACCTCCTTTGCAAGCACCAAACCAAAATCCAGGGTAAGGCCAGGCTGAAATGTGTCTCAGTGGGTGCAGAGCTGTGGCGTCTGTCCCAGGGGACTGGGGCGGTGTGCACACTTACTTATCATTTGCAAAGCACTGACATGCCGCACAGACAGAAACAGCTGTTGGCATGAAGACCTCACAAGCCCAAAGAGAAAAACATGTGAAGGGTGCAGTAAAGGGATCCCCCAAACCAAGCAGAAAATATCACAGTCAAATGTACGGTTTCAGAGTAGCAGCCGTGTTAGTCTGTATTCGCAAAAAGAACAGGAGGACTTGTGGCACCTTAGAGACTAACCAATTTATTTGCGCATAAGCTTTCGTGAGCTACACTTCCCACGGTATGCATCTGACGAAGTGAGCTGTAGCTCACGAAAGCTCATGCTCAAATAAATTGGTTAGTCTCTAAGGTGCCACAAGTCCTCCTTTTCTTTTAGTCAAATGTACATTTCCTTTTCATTCTGATTAACTACTTGGAGGTCAGCGCTCCAGCAGGCTCCAGAGGGCGCCCCCCAGTGCTCCCCTCCCCGCCTGGCTGATGGCTTGTGGGTGTCCCTGGAGAAGTGGGTGTTGGGGGGTGGGGAGTAGCTCGGAAAGGGGTTCCGCGGGTCAGGGGGACTGTGGGAAGCAGACGTGGGTGCCAGTCCTGCCCGCAGGGTGAGGGTGATGGCAAGCGAGCCCTGCGGACTCCTCCCAGCTCCCGCCCCACAGAGACCCGGGTCCCCCAGCTCCCCCCGGTCCCAGCCCGCTGTGGCCATCAGGGGCGCGCGGAGCAGCCCTTGCCCGCAGCGCGGCTCCCGGGCGCCCCGGCCCGGCCCGGCCCCACTGACCCAGAAGGCGAAGTTGAAGGCGAAGAGCAGGAACTTGATGCAGCGCAGGCGGCCCATGGTGGGCTCCGGCTCCGCGCCCCGACTCGCCGGCTGCTCCCGGGGCGCGGGGGGAGGCAGGTGCAGGGAGAGGATGGGGCATGGCCCGGCGGTGGCGGGCAGGAGCAGAGCCCGCCCCTGGTGCCGTGCAGCCGGCGGCGGCGCTGGGGCTGGTGAGGGCTTTGCAGCGACCCCCCCCTGCCGGTGCGCGGCTGCAGCCAGCCTGGCCCGCAGCCGGGGCCAAGCACGGGACAGGCGCCCTGGGCCGCCCGGGGCAGGGCTCCTCGGCAGCCCTTGGGATGGATTGCAAAGAAAAGGCTCCAGGTTCCCACCTGCCTCCTCTACTTCTCTCCTGTTCTCTCTAGGCTTCTGCTCCTCCCTCCTTCCCTGGAGGATCCCAGCTCCTCCCTGGCATTGCCGGAGTTTGTTCATGTCCTTAATGCCGTCTGACATCCGGGGAGCAGCGTGTGCGCCCCAGATTGTGATTAGGGAGGGAGGGTGTTTTGCTTTTGATACATACACTGCTCTGTTTATAGCAGAGAGGGCACGCAGAGAAGTGTGCCCCGCACTTGGAGCAGGGATGGTGCTTTGTTGCTGGGGGAGTTCACTCCATGAAACTCAAGAACAGAACATTTCTAAAAGGGAACATGTTAAAGATACTTTCCTAATCCTAGCTGCTCAGATTTGTGCTTTCTGGGATTTGCATGAAAATGCACAGCGCTTTCTGAGGACCTGATAGGTCCAGAGGAATCCACTTTGCTACTCATTGCTGTGGATAAAAAGGGAGAATAAGGTTTTTACCCCTAAAGCCTCTTATGCCCTCACAGAATACATTCTGGACTGCCCCTAGTTTGAGAACCTCTGCTCTAGACTATCTTTGACAGGTGTTTGTCTAACCTTTTCTTAAAAACCTCCAGGGATGGAGATTCCACAACCTTCTTAGATATTTTGTTCCAGTGTTTAACTACCCTGACAGGAATTTTTTCCTAATGTCCATCCTCAGTCTCCCTTGCTGCAATTTAAACCCATTACTTCTTGCCCTGTCCTCACTGGGTAAGAAGAACAATTTATCACCCTTTCCTTTATATACTTGAAGCCTGTTATCGTCGTCCCCTCCCCCCCCCTTCTCCAGACAAAACAAACCAATTTTTTTCTATCTTTCCTTGTGAGTCACATTTTCGAGAACTTTAATAATTTGTGTTGCTCTCTTCTGGACTTTCTCCAGTTTGTCCACATCTTTCCCAAAGTGTGGTGCACAGACTGGACACAGGACTCTAGTTGAGGCCTTAACAGCGAGTAGAGTAGAATAATTACTTCTGCCTGGCTTACTACACGCCTGCTAATGCATCCCAGAATTACATGTGCTTTTCTTGAGCAGTATTACATTCTTGACGCTGTTTGTGATGATCCACTATAACTCCCAGATCCTTTTCTGCAGTATTCCTTCCGAGGCAATCATTTCCCATTTTTGTAGTTTTGTGCAATTGCTTATTCCTTTCTAAGTGTAGTACATATGTGACTCTCCTCTGATTACAGTGTGTGTATGGTATATTGTTCAAGTCTCTTCCATGTGGCTCTGACAGAGGCTTTTCAGCAGCCCTTCCCTCACTCACAGGAGCTTTGAGAAGGAACATGTCAGATACTGAAACTGCTTTGTGGGCCTCTGCCAGAGGTGAGGCAGACGTTTTTGAGAAAAGGACCCTTAATATTAAACATTTTATCCAAGTATTGAATGTATCAAGTGTTTATTTTCCATTTTGTTTTGTAATAAAATAGTTTTATAGGGAGACTTCACCTATCTAGTTTGCTTTTGCATTTAGTGCCTCCATTTCTGAGATGCCTCCCTGCTGAGATCCCTCGAGAGGTTAATGTAGTGTAGATTCTCAAGGCAGAGAGATATGGAACTTACGTACAAATGAGAGATAAAGGGGGAAACAAGGGCCTGTTTACTTGTGTGTGTACTAAATGCAATAAACCAATTTTGTGACATGACAACATAGGGATGGATTCTGGGGTTTGGTTTCTGTTTTTACTATTTTTCAATGTTTATTTTTGGCTACTTTAGAGCCTGGCAACTTTCTTGGGAAACCTTCTCTCTGATTTGAATTGTGACTGCAGACATTTGATCAGGGATCTGCTGTTTCATTAGCAATGAAGCAGACACAGAATTAAAACAAAATCTCATGAAAACATCCAATATAGTTTGTGACACAAAACGAAAAAGCCACATAATCTCCCTCTGTTGCTGTAAGTGACCAAGAAGTGACCCATGGCGGGGCTGGTCCAGGAGTGTTTCTGTCACTATTAAAAACAAGGCAATTAAGGAAGAAGCTTCAGTCTTACTCACAACTTTCCTTCTTTTTGATTGAGTCTGACCCTAAACATGTCTTATGGCGGATCCAACAAAGCACTCCAGCATGGGCTTAATGTTGAGCATGTGAATAGCCCCACTGAAACTTATGGGACTACTTGTGCTCAAAATTAAGCATGTGCTTAAGTGATCTGCTGAATCAATGCTGCCTTAATTCAGCTTTTCATCATTAATTTCCTTTAAGGTTTTGATGTAGAGAAGCAGAAGCCTTTCAGATAATAAAAGAGACTCAGTTATATAAGATGATTCTGTCTGCTTAAGCGTTGCATAAATTAAAACAAATATAAAATCATTTTGGTGATAAATGCTGCATGTTTCAGCTTCATGAAAGAATTAAGTTGTGCACAGCAGAAAGACTAATACTTGTTTCTCTAAAAAAATATTGTGAAAGAGGGTTGTGCTGAAAACTTTCCATGAACTAAGTCAGTTACACTTTACCTTAATAGGCATCAAGTGTAAAGCTATCAAGGCAGCTGCCAGCTAATAACACAGTTCTCACTGTGTGCTGCATATGGTCTTGTGTGGTGATTGTAATGTTGATGCTTAGAACTCAGTGTCCACTTTCCTACCCAGAAGTTTCCTATTGGGGCTTGGATTCTCTCCTTGAAGCATGGGCTGGGTGAGAGGATTAATAAAATAGCATCTGAAGTATGAATAAAAGCTTAGTTTATGTTGTGTAATATCTGCAAATTTAATGGAACAATACTGAAAAATTGCAAGCATGGTACGTTAAAGAGGAGCTCTGTGATATAGGAGAAGGACCTGGATTAAAGAATCAATGCCTTTAAATCAAAGCCTCTGTAGTTTGCACTTTACTACAGCTATCAGACAAGCATTGCTGGTGTTCCTGCCAGTGCGGGAGGCAGGGGCCTGCAGCTCAGCCTGCAGCTGTCATACGACTTCGGAAGGAAAATGCTCCTTTTGGAGTTTTTCTTGAATTTTTATTTGGAACAAATCTTGCATTTTTATTTCCTCTCCTTCTGCAAAAAGAAAAGATACTTGTCCCATTCCATATAAATCCTTTATGCCAATCCTTGTATCCCCCCACAGCTTTGCCATCACATGTAGATGCTGACCTGCAGTCCCCTTTTTGTATTTCGATTCTGGAACCCAATCTACCCTGCACCACTTTTTCAATGCATCAGCCCTCCAGCTGTTTCTGTCCTGGCCTTCTGCCATATGTACCACATTGTTTGATGGTTTTGTGACGTGCACAGGTAGAGATAGGATGAGAGCCAGCAAACTCATTTAACGTGGTGAAAGGCTTATGTGGTAAATATATTGCAAAAAGGCAGGTCTCGTGCCAGCCAGCCAGCCAGCCAGCCAGCTCTTCAGCACAGTTCTGAAACAGCAACATAAGAGCTACAAGTGTTCCTAGCTCCATAGACGCCAGAATCCCTCAGGTACCAACTCACCCATGCTCCAGGAACATACCTTTGGCACTGACATTGGGCTGGGAGAAGTAATGGCTAAAATAAAATTTTCTCTTCACTATTTGTGCCACTCCTTGAGGCAGCAGCTGAGTATTCTTCCAGAGTTAGACGCCTGAGTTGGGGGGGTGGGGGGGCTGGCGTAGCCCCTCCTGTCCCCTTCCTTCTGGTCTTGTCAGAAGTGAGGGGGGCAGGCTGCAATGTAATGTGCTCCAGTGACCCTTGACAGCACAATAGCCTCTTGTTAGCTGCTATTTGCTGGCACAAGTTACGAAGCTACTCGAACTTGTGCCAAGGGCTGGTACAGCCTCCAGGATCGGGAAGTCCAAAAGATGGTGTGAAGGCACTCGTGTCTCCCCCACAAGGCATGCACCACTGAGGCCCCTATGGCCCCCTCCCCAGCATGCATCATAAAGACACCTCTGGCCCCAGAGGCACATTTGGGGATGTAGCCCTCGGCCACAAGCTTTAGCACGTATGAGTAGGGCCCTACCAAATTCATGGTCCATTTTGGTCAATTTCATGGTCATAAGATTTTAAAAATCGTAAATTTCATGATTTCAGCTATTTAAATCTGAAATTTCACTGTGTTGAAATTGTAGGGGTCCTGACCCAGAAAGGAGTTGTGTGTGTGTGTGTGTGGGAGGTCGCAACTAGGAAATAGGTTATTGTGGGGGGGTGTGGTGCTGCTACCCTTACTTCTGTGCTGCTGCTGGCAGCGGCACTGCCTTCAGAGCTGGGCAGCTGGAGACGGCGGCTAATATATAGCAGCCTAAAATAACCCTGTGACCCCCCTGCAACTCCCTTTTGGGTCAGGACCCCCAATTTGAGACACGCTGGTCTCCCCTGGGAAATCTGTATAGTATAGGGTAAAAGCACACAAAAGACCAGATTTCACGGGGGGAAACCAGATTTCATGGTCCATGACACGTTTGTCATGACCATGAATTTGGAAGGGCCCTCCACATGAGGAAGCAGGGACCTGAGCAGACTGCAGCCTCTGCTGGGTAAAACCAGCATCTCCTTTGTGTTACCAATCCTGATGGGAATTAATGGAAATGTCAGGTCTTTCTTGTTTAGACCTAGGCCTTGTCTACACTACAGGGAAAAGTGGATCTAAGCTACGCAATTTGAGTTATGTGAATAGCGTAACTCAAACCCATGTAGGTTAGATCTACTTACCGCAGGGTCCACACTATGTGACATTGACAGGAGATGCTCTCCCATCCAAGCCACTTACTCTTCTCAATCAGATGGAGTCCAGGGGAGAGCGATCGGCAGTCAATTTAGCGGGTCTTCACTAG